TGGGTCTGTAGTATTTGTAGATTTAATAAGATTTAAATATTGAATTATAACTGTAATTATCTTTATACGTAACTACAGGAGGATTCTGAGTCCTCTGTATCGAAATCCTCAGGTGTAGCGGGTGAGTAATCACAGCTGTGTAGATAAAGAAAGATAAATGCCTCTCTTTACACTACAGCCAGCATTGTACATAGACTTTTTGTGAAAGAAACAAAAACATTTAATTTGAGGATATTAACATGAAATGCAATAATAAATACAACAATTCCCCACCAGAAATCAATCAATCCAAGGAAAAATCTGCCACCATGCCAAGGTAAGAGACTGGTTCAGACTTTCACTTTACAACTGATCCATACATTATATACTAAACAACAACCTATTTTGAGCCATCCACAGCAATTCAGCAATCAACAACTTTCCTAAAACATCTGTGTTCTTTGCAACAGAGCCAAATCCTTAACCACCAATCAAAAAGACTCAAGCCCAAGTTCAAACTCTGCCACTACTCCAGTGTCCAGGTACTAGTCTCCCCCCTGACTCTGCCTACTACATAGGTTCTCTTCTAAGATGATATGCATTCAATGAAGATCTATTCCAATCTGAAAGAGATACTTATTTGTTTGTTGGTGTGTGCGGCATTTCTATTTTCTACTTTGTCTTACTGTCATAAGATTAACTATCAACTGCTTTTATTGTTTCTGCCTGAAACAAAGTGTGTTGCTTCCCCTGGCCAGCTCATGTTTGAGATGAAGATAATGCTTTGTTTTTAACCACATGTTCCCACAGATAACCAGCAGAGCTGTGAGCATGACTGTACAAATAGCTTACTCTGTTGTAATCGCAAAACTGCAAACATTAAGTGAAAGGCACACCAGAGAGCTACACCCAGCCATAGTTTTATGAACTCATTAATATTTGTCAATGCAAATAATTAGTCTGCTTGTCTATGCACTTATTTAACTTAGATATTAAAACTTACTTTATTATTTTAATTTATGTATTATACAGGCATTAAAATTGTTTGTACTTTAATGCAAAGTGACACAAAAGCATATAGGACTTTTATACAACTTTCATATTTGCTGAATATTAACAACAAACATGTCAATTTTTTAAAATCTGTATTATTTTAGGCAAAAGGGATCTTAGCTGACTGCCTGTTACAAGAACAGGCTTGGCCAGCACAGACACCTGATGTCTGACAGAACAATTCATTTCAATTGTATAGCACCATATCACAACAACAGTTGCCTCAAGCATGCCATCTGCATCATCCCCACATAATAATAATAATAATAATATAAAAATGTGATATTTTAATAATTAATTTAAAATATTAATATTTTCAGTGTGGTGGCCTCAAACTTGCTTCCATTTAGTTTTAGAGATTTCCACATAAAATTCCAAATTATTAGTGATTATTTGCTTCTGCTTTGAAAAACACATTGAGTGTGACATGCTGCCACTATCCTGCTCAACTGATTCAGTGAGTGTTCCACTTTCTGTAGCATAGCACTCCAAACTAATTTAAAAGAAAGAAACATTATTGGAACACGTACATGAAGATAAAAGTAAGTGTTTGGCCTAAAATATGACCTCTTTGATTGTGTTTGCTTCAGTGTAATAAAGTATCTTTCTTTTGTAGGATGAAGGTGGTGAAGAAGAACTCAGATGGTACAGGAAATGATAGTGATATGGAAAAATTTAAACAGGTTTGTTCCTCCATCTTTATATAAATACACACCAATATCCTACAACTCCTTAGTAAATAGTATAACTTTCTGTGATGACATAAATCTATTTTAGTTCCTTTGAAACAAGAGAAGCTATTCAGTATGTAAAATATGTGTTCTAAGCCTCTGCTTGTTTTTCCCAGGACTTGCATTATAAAGCCATTTCATCTAAAGAACCTTAAATCATAGTTGCAAAGCTTCTAACATTGTTTCCAGATTTGTACTATTGTACACATAAAGTTTTAAGGCTCTTTATTAAAACAAAATGTACTTCTTTTATGCAAAACGTCATACTCTGTCTGCATTTGAAGGAAATCCTTGAAGAAATAAAAAAGGAACTCTACAAAGTAAAGGAAGAAATTATCACAGGTGAGTTCTAACGTATATACTATCCATATGTCAGATGAACCTAGAGGAACTATGTCAGAGGAACCTAGGGCATACATGTAGAAACTACTCATATACAGTATGTTGTGATCTTGTGTTATACCAGAATATTGCTCTGTTTTTCTAGCTCTGATGCAGGAGCTACAAAGGTCACAGCTCAAGGATGAAGACTGAAGAACTGATCAAAAGGGAAAAAAATGGATGCTTATCTTGCAGTGCTCACAGTGCTTTACTTGGCGAAATTATTTTATTTTACATTGTTTAATTTGTTTTCATGCAATGGACTTTAAGGTCTGATCAGTCCTAAGACTATGAACATGAACACATTTTCAAATAAAATATTATTATCATTATTTTTCCCCGATGTCTTGCTTAGTTATGGAAATCAGAATTGAATTCCAATTATTTTCTAGGAGTTGTAAATTTTAGTGTTTCATGTAATATTCATCAACAGACATATGAATGACATGCCCAGGCATTTTTATCAGTGGCAGGTAACAGTAATCTGCTCAGACAGGTTGTTGACACTTTTACCATCAAACAATTTCAAGTCCTTGCAAAATTAGTAGTGCACACTACTGGTTTTGTAGCTCCAAGGATATACATTTCAGCACATGTTAACTTACATTCTTGAAAATGGGTTAGAAATTTGACTTTTTAATAGAATAGAATAGAATAGAAAAGAATAGAACTTTGGGGAGTTCCATTCCAGGAAATTCCAGCAGCTGTTGTTGAATGTCTAAAATTACACAACATTGCGCAAGTGAAGTTATTTACATGTATGTACATTTCAGGGTATACCAGGAAAAACTCCATATGACCCCACGTAGAACTATGATACCTTTCAGATGTGAAAACATTATTTTTGATATTCTTCCATTGTCATCTGATAAAGTACTCTTTAAAAGTACTCAAAAATAAAGCTTATCTTGTTAAAAAATAATAAAAATTGTGACAAGCAAGCAAATTTTGTGTATGATTTTTCATTAAAACTGGGTAAAAATGGAATTTATAATGTTTTTAATATAATGTCGGTCACATACACTTGATTAAAAAAATAGAAGTTAATAAAAATTTAAAAAGCTAGGTGGCATTTTATAATATCTACACACTATTAAGCATTAAAGAAGTATTAGTTAAAACTCAATCATAAAGTATTGTTCCTCCTTAGTATGTCATTTATATAGGTGTATACGAATAGTCTTGCTTAGTAAGGCCATATAAAATGTTTAATTTTTTATGTTTTCTGCTTTATCTTTTCTACTTTATAAATCATGGATTAACCATTAGTAAATAAAGTATTAACCCCTAGTGAGCACTGTCTCTTAAGAGGGTCATTGACCCACTATTAGTCAATAATAATGTGCCTCACCACATGTAAGAAGATGTAAAAAAAAAAAAAAAAGGCTGTTGGTCATTATCTGCACAGTCTTGATGCATGCTCAATCATCCAGGTAGTGAAATACCAAAAAGTTGATTCTGTTCATCCTTGCATAGTGTCCAGACGAGCAGAATCAACTTTTTAGGATTATCAGCAGAGGTTTCAGGTGAAACCATTTTGAGACCTTGCCCCACCTTATTATGTGACCCATTGAGCTCACAAGATGTGAATGGGGACTCGGGTGCCTGGGAAGGTACCTTAAAACTGCATTGTAGGTGGCAGCCAGTTGGTGTCATAAGCTGCCCCCTCTGTTCAAAGATGGTCAGTTGCTTTCAGAACTGAAGAAACTTCTCAGGTGAGAGGTGAAACATCTTCAAGGAACTTAAAGAAGTCCAGTCAGTTTCTTTCCAAGCGACTTAGATTGTATTTGTCAATATTGTGTCACACATATGGCGCTAACTTGTGGCAACAGGGAACTATCCAGTAGGTTATAATTATTCAATATAAATGAAATTTTAACTGTTGGTTCCACACATGATATACAGCAGTGTGACATATGGTTAGACAATTGCCACCTAGTGGCCATAGATGGTGTTCAGTAGGGTAAATGATGCCAGACCCAGTTAACGTACTGAACTGAAAATAACCACATGACTGCGTGAGTGCTTGACCTCAGCACAGTTGACTGAGGCTGGCCTGGACAAGCAGCAGGGTGCAAGGACCCTCTTATTGCTGCTTGCATCTTTAATATTGTATTTGGTGTTGAATTGCCTAATACAGTGGTAGAAAACTTTAAGCGTTTAGCTTGTGACATATTTTAAATGTTATTGTACTTCCAGTCTCAGCTGGGTCCCTCACTTTCACTTTTATTTTTCTATCAGCTGAGAAGCAACCAAATACAGGTGGTAACAGCCAACAGGAAAACGCTAAAATACACAAACAAACAAAAAACAATTTGGTGACTTTTTACTTCCAATCTCAAATATCCTCTCTGAATTTATAATTATAGCCATATGTAACAGAAATAGCCTTTCCCTGAACATAGTCCAGCATTAATTTGATCACACTCCCAGTGGAAAGACTTTAAACAGGCTGAAAAACTGGATTTCATAATGTCACTAACACCATCAAATGAACAACAACTAATTCACTATGTTGGCTAAAATAACATTAAGAGAACATAATTTACAGTGAATTAGGTATTACTGGGTATCTGGGTATGTGTTTGCTCACAGTATTATCCTAGTTAAAAAAGCCCTAAATCATTGGTGGCTGATCCACTAACATGTTTTCAGATACAAATCAATTTAATTTATATTTGCTTATAACATACAGACTTATGTTCTGAGTTATTAGCTTTTCAAAAAAGCATCACAAACATTAGTGTTCCAATATCTTCATGGCGCGGGCAGTGTATGTTACTAACTTCCGGGAACAATGGCATAAAAAAACAAAACAAAGAACAAGCACACATGCTGCCTGCAGGGGGCGATACTTGCGTAAAGAGGTACCACTATGTGACCTAAGCTACGAAGAAGAAACTTCCACGGCGTTTTCCTCGGTGGATGGCCTGTTCTGGAACTAAACTGTGAAAGCTGCATTGAAACGAAATCTGTGTGGGATAAAGTCACTGAGATGTGCGTTAAATTAGGTTTCATAATTAAGTTGTGCAAAATATATGAAGTTAAAAGATTAGCTGACAAACTTTTAACTCATAGCTAGGTAGAACTGCTATTTGATAATCGCTATCAGGGCTCTTTCAGCAACCCTACCAGAAGGCATATGATCGCTAACGTAAGATATTTTTTTCTAATAATAAAAATAAAAATGAATGTATTATAGTTCAAGGAATCATTACTAATATTAGAGTTCGGTGTGAAGCCCCATAAAAGTCGAGTATGGAAAGCACTACTATGACTGGCTGTAAAATAAGAACCTAATATGTGATAATAAGCTATAAGTAGCAAAGTGACTTTTGACACTACTCAAGTGACAAGTATCGTTGTTTGACGTTCGCTTGTCTGTTAATATAGATTCAGTGTGAATACGTTAAGTTATTAACTGTATATACATTTCTTTACTTAAAGCTTTTTGTAACGTGTGCTTTCAAACTTCGTTGTATGTTAACAGTAAATTATCTGCTGTGAGTATTTAACTGCAAACCAACTTAACTGCCCCGCCGAGTGACGAGAAACAATGAGAGTAGGATTAGAATGGTATTATGTGTTGTTTAGCTGGAATTACTACAAATTGCGAGTTTTGTATTGTGCTTTCATTTAAAATGTTGCGCGATGTTTGTAAATGTGATACCTGCCGCTGGTATCCTTGTGCAACAAAACTAGCGATAAACGCACACACTCACGTTGCAGGAATTGTACAGTAATGTACGTTAACATCCGGTAGACTTATGCATTCATGTCATATGCCAAAACCCCCTTTTTTAAATAATACTTAAAATTCCGGATTGGTTTATTAGTGCTGGGCGGCGTATGAGCCAACGCTCATTCTGTGGAGCCTTCACGTTAGCTGCAACGGGCTAAGATATGCCATTTTAAATGTTACTCACCATCACTTCTATAAAGTGTAAGGTTTCGTCCCCTTGACATGTAAGTTTATGTTCCGAGTAAAACAGTAATAGTATACATTTACAGAAACTTGTCGAGACAATCATAAATGATTAAACGATTAGCGAATAAATAGACAATGAATATGCAATAATTTCTTATCAAGTTTGAAAATATTGTAATAGCTTATTAAATATTGTGTGGTTTCCATTACTTGAACACGAAGTTTATTTCTTTCTTTCTAGCCATTCTAATATATAGTGGATACAGCATCATCGGTCGGTCTTTTTGATGTTTTTCCAACACCCATCTTTTTCAATATAAATCATTCAGCTTGACAGTGAAGCAAATATGAGACTTTAGGCTTTAAATCTGTAAATTAAGATAAAATTGTTTAATCCTAAAGTTGATAGTCTGTTACAACATCAAGACAGCAAACATTTAACAAATATCTTAAATAAGCTTTTTAAATTTAGTCAATACTCTGACTGCAGTCAGTATTGATGAAATCCAGATACTCTCATCTGGATATTATATTATCAGGTCTTAAATGACTTTTCTTTCATTTTAAGATTATTATTTTTTTAGTCAGCTGTTGACTGAATGTTAATTTTTTTTCTTTTTTTCTATGGAAAATATTTAATGTCAGTGTGTGAATGTGTGTGTGAATGGGTGAATGGGTGAATGACTGAATGTAGTGTAAAGCGCTTTGGGGTCCTTAGGGACTGAGTAAAGCGCTATACAAATGCAGGCCATTTACCATTTTGTTGCACTGCTTATTTCATTCAGTAGGTGCTGTTGTCACTGTGACTGAGTCTTAAACATAGTAAGAATCTACTTTTCCTCCTTCTGACTCTCTCTGGGCAGTCCCTTACCATGAATGAAGTCAGTATAGTGAGAGAGGGATGGCTTCACAAAAGAGGTATGGATCATGAAAATTGTTATAAAATTGTGTTATAAGATGGGAAAACTGTTGACTTCTGTTGTCTGTTGCCAGCTACTCATCGTATAATTGCACTGTTGATTTAATTTGTCATTTTTGATCCAGGTGAATATATCAAAACATGGAGGCCTAGGTATTTTATCCTAAAGAGCGATGGCTCTTTCATCGGTTACAAAGAGAAACCAGATTTAAATGACCAACCTTCCCCACCACTGAACAACTTCTCAGTGGCAGGTTAGTCTTTTAAGATGTTGAAGAGTGGCCGTCCTTTATGTCAGATCCTTTCAGTTTTCAAGACTCCCTGTATGTTTTTTCAGTTCTGGTCCCTTCTAACCACCTTCAAGTAAATATGAATGATAATTGTATTTTTTACAGAATGCCAGTTAATGAAGACTGAAAGACCCAGACCTAATACATTTGTCATCCGTTGTCTGCAGTGGACCACTGTTATTGAACGTACTTTTCATGTAGAAAGCAACGAAGAGAGGTAAAAACCGTAAATCACATTTCTTACTATCCTTGTCAAATCCTGGCATGCACTTTTTGTGTTTTATGTACTGTGATGTGCATTTTCCTGTATCCATTATTCATTAGTTGTCATTTAGAATACTTCGACTCCATCTAATGTTTTTTTTAAATTGACAATTACTAAGTCACGCCAAATTCTCCAGTATTGATGTATATGATACAGTGATTTCATACTCTTCACAGTTTTACGGATTGGATAGCCGAGTGGCAATTTGTGATATTTTTTACATTTCAGAGAGGGGTGGATAAGGGCAATCCAGTATGTAGCGAACAGTCTGAAAATGCAGGAACAGGGGGAAGAGGAACCAATGGATGTTCTCAGCTCACCAAACGAAAGCAGCCTGGTGGAGATGGAGGCAGTTATATCCAAGAGCTGCACCAAAGTGGTGAGAGAATTAGCTGATACAGCTTTGAGCTGATAAAAACTGCTACTTACTGTAAGTCAGGCCAGTTTCAGTTGGTCTCACATAAACTCTATCAGGGAAGCAATATGTTGTGCAAACAGGAATATCAGTATAGATTTGTGAAAGGATATTTCTTACATCATACAAACATGTAATTGTCTCTGGCTTCCTCAGAATTACTATCCTTAGAATTGGAAAGTAAACCCAATGCCAGCATTCATTGGGACTGCAGTGGTAGCAAAAAGACATCTTGTAGTGTTCAAGTGTGGGGGAAAGTGGCCCCTTGGCATGTCTGCTTGCTGTATAACCTCAATAAATACTTTCCTGAAAATTTTATGGTCGTATTTGTTAGTTAAGTTCATTTTAAATGTTATTAGAGTAAGAGAGAAATCTAGTCAGTCTATTCAGGTGTTTATTCTTTGTGATTGATAAGTCATTAGCCATTTAGTGTAGAGGTCCTCTGTTTCACAGTCAGAGCCACTGCTTGCTCATTACTGGTGTGGTTTCAAACCAAGGCTGAGCTTTTATGTCACAGTGATTAGGTGAATAGTTTTATGTGCAGTCTGCTATTTGCATTAGGACATAAGGAACAAGGATGCAAAGAACGAAACTTTTCATTTCATGTCAAACGAACAGCATAATATATTTTACTTCTAAATGTACGTAACTTTAAAAGATTATTTTGTTTAATTAAAAAAAATGTACACACACTTCCACAATGAATGAGTTGTATATTTTACAGACAATGAGTGACTTTGAATATCTGAAGCTGCTTGGAAAGGGTACCTTTGGGAAGGTGATTCTTGTCAAAGAAAAGACAACTGGAGTACATTATGCCATGAAAATACTGCGCAAAATGGTGATAATAGCCAAGGTAAGTGTGTGTATTGACATAATTGATGCAGTTGTAATTGATATATTTCTGCCATTTTGCTGCTGCAAGACTTGTCCTACTTTAACAGATGAATGCTGCGAAATGTGTGTGAAGACAGGAGTGTGGCACAGCATCAACATTGGCTTCCTGTTTTCTAGTATAATGTTTATTGGCTCATTTTGAAAATTAGTGTTTATAGGGCTTGACTAAAATATTTTTGTCATTAGTTATGAAAGACACTGCTCATTGAATTATGATCAGTTCCTGATTGTCAGTGATTTTAATATTCATGTCCATTATGAATCCAGACTCTTGGTCAAAGAATTTATTGATCTTATTGAAACATTCTGACTCAGTCTGTGTCTGGTCCGATTGTGCACATGATAAGTTCTTTAACAGCATCTTTGTTTGCATCAGCTTTCGATGATTCTGTGCTTGTAAATCGAGATTATTACTTTACTCTTAATCTTAACAAATTTATAATTCTATTTAATTTTTGGCCTTTTTTGGATTTTACTTTGATAGGTACAGTGAAGAATTGATAGGAAAGCAAAAGGAAGAAAGGGCTGCGGCTTGGACTTGAACCTGGCCGGCTGCTCTCAGCCATACAGCATGTGGTCGCTTTTTAGCAGTGCTTTAAAATTTCATAAACAGATTAGCTCTGTTGTTAAGACAAGTTTCTTTTAGCTGTGGCTCCTCAGTAAGGTGAAGGCCTACCTTACGGCACATTACTTTTAGAGAGTAATTCATGCTTTTATTACTACTTGTGAAAACTATTATAACTCTTTATAATTGGCTCTGATCAGTTCTGACTTCGTCACCTACAAGCTGTTCAAAATGTAGCAGGTTGCCTTTTGACAGGAAAGAAATGGTGTGAACACATTACACCTGTACTGGCCTCCTTACACTAGCTTTCAGTTAATTTCAGATCCAGTTTAAAACTGCTTACTTTTCAGTGGTTAGGCAATACCTAACTTAAGAGACCTTTTGAAACCCTGTAATCCTATCAGAGCACTGAGCTATACAAACCACATGTTCAATCCAATAGTTTCAGCAATCTCCCTTCAGAAATTTGCTGCCATTGGTGAACCCTTATATTGATGCTACAGTGCGGCAGAAAAAGTAGCCAAACATGCAGAGGAGTAATTGACTGCACTGAAAAGGGCAAGTTACAATAGTTGCAGGATAGAGCTACACAACCCTTGTCTTAGGATTTCTGAGTGGTCTGCAGTTATCTTGTAGTTACGGCAGTAAAACCAAAGCAGAAAATGCTACTGATAAAACTGAAACGAAGAAAGAAGAAAGACTGAACATAGATATGTTGGCCTATTTGCTTGAGGTATCGACTCAGGAGTGAAAGCACAAACAATAAAACACATTTGTTCAATATTACAGCAATAAAGGTGTTCAGCAGTCCTTTTTTTGTCAGTCCATATACCCAAGTTGTTACAGGTCCTAGTTCTTTTCAGTTTCTTTTGTTCAGGTGTGTGTTGAGTGTATGTCTAGTGGGTATGGGTTTGTTTTTTTTAAATAACTATCAGAGTAATGTTATCTTGTTGAAATCTCACTAGCTTATCTGTCCAGAAGCAATGAGGCTGTCGCCAGCATCACAGCTGCAGATGTTGAATCCTTTCTTGCCATTAGATTGTTTCTAACTCAGAAACCATCAACCTGCACAAGACGCAGAACAACTGTCACCAGCCCTCCAAATTTCTCTTCCCTTCTGGGTCCTGGCATGCTGCTTAAATAGGCTGTGTTGGGCAACCTCCTCTGGCACTGCCCCCTGAACCACTGCACCCACTGTGGTGGAAGCAAAACCGCAAATGTAAGAGGGAATTAATGATAATGTTTATCAAACGTTAAGCATAGTTTGGATTTTCTTTTGTTGCGGGTTCAGTGAATTCCGGTCGGAGAGTGACAAAACCTGTAGCATCAGAATCTGTGATGTGTCGGCTTTCAGCACCATCTTTATACGTGCCATCAGGTGAACAATCTGCGCTTTCTGTTTACATCTTTTTGTGGAATCCGTGTATCTGCTCTCATTTGCTGTTTTAGCTGTTTGGTGGTTCTTGAAATAGTTTTGTGAGCTTTAAGCTGAGATTCTGGCGATTTTGGCAAAATACATTTATATTTAAAAATTGATTCAGGATTTAATGAATCGATATCAATATCAATCTGCTGAAATTTTTTTTTTTTAAACCCAACCCTAATACTGACCACCACATAACAATTGTTGTTTTTATTCATCCATCCATACTTTTTCATTAAGCCAATTCAGTGTTGCGGAGGCGGGGGGCTGGAGCTGTCCTAGTGTGAAAGGCAGGGTGCACCCTGAACAGGTCACCAGCCTGTCCAGGGTTAACACATAGAGAAAGACAGCTATTCAAACTCACATTCACAATTTAGAATCACCAATTAACCAATTATGCTGTTTTGCTGTTTCCATTCATTTTTCATTTATCATTATATATATATAAATGCAAAACATGTTGAAGTGAGCACAGAAACTGTGGGAGCTGTTAATGTATGGCGTTATTTTTGTGCCACTATTCTAAGCGCATGTAAAAAAAAAAATAAAAAATTTGACCGCACGTAAAAAAAATTTGCAGGTGCAAAATAAATTTCTCCTCAAAATGCAACACTTACACCTGAGTCCCCATGTTTTAACAGGCAGGCGTGATTGCAGATGCCATGCAGGATCATCCGCACGGCATCCGCAGACCGCGCCCACCACAATATCTCATATTGACTGTCAAGAACAGTGGTGGATGATGAAGAGAAGCTCTAAAGATGATTTTGTTTTCATTATTATGGCAGAGGGAAATTCCAGCCTTGGGGATATCAGGCCTCCGCGGTTGCTGTGAGAAATAGCATTTGCTGATTGATAATTTGGGCTCGTTGACACGTTGTAGTCATCAAGGTGACAATGAATTCCTCTAAATTAATTGTCTAGAGCAGCGGTCCCCAACCCCTGGGCCTTGGACCGGTACCGGTCCGTGAGTCGTTTGGAACCGGGCCGCAAGAGATGAGGTTCAGGTGTGAAATGTATGGTTTTCAGGGTTTTTATTGGTTTTCAGCATTATTATGTTATCGTTTTTATCGTTAACTCGGTTTTCCTGGGTCTTTTCAGGTGTGTTATGAATAAATCTTCTTTTTTTTCGATACCGGTACTAGTTTTATTTTGTTGTATTTATCCGCGACACCTTAAAGGCCGGTCCGTGAAAATAATGTCGGGCATAAACCGGTCCGTGGCGCAAAAAAGGTTGGGGACCGCTGGTCTAGAGTCATATTTTAGGCCATCTGTCTGACAATTGGCACCATTGGGTCTTGCGACAGGACAAAGATACCAAGCACACACGTAAATCTAGAACAAAATAACTCAGAGAAAAGATTAAAGGTGTTGCAGTGGACCATTATCAAGAACTCAACCTGATTGAAATGGTGTGGTGGGACCCTCAGAGATCTGTGCATGAATGAATGCCTGCAACTTCAGTGAAGTAAAGCAACATTTTAAATGAAGTTGTGCAAAAAATGATACAGTAAAATATGTCATGTGTTGTTCATTTTAAGGTTGTTTGTCCCAGATTTTAAATTAGTTTAGAACTTGGTGAGGACTAGAGATTTTTTTTCTATATACAGTCTTGATACATAAAACTTGAAGGTAGGTGTATTTTCTTTTACATAACTCCATAAAAATATGTTCTTATCTAAATATGAGGTAAATGAAAACATCGTGCATCATTTGTGACTTCGTTGTGTCAGCAGTGCGCGCTTGTCCTCTGACCATCTTTAGGTAACAAAGTGGCTGAATAAAATTAGACTGTAATATATATCAGCTACATTGTTGTATTTTAGCTTTGATACAAGTTAAGGCATTAAAACAAAGATTATGTCAAACGGACTGTCCTTCTCAGTCTCTGTTTGTTCTTGCTTTAAGTAACGTTTTACTATTTTTAAAAATGTTTTTTGTGTTTGTAATGATAATTGTGTTTGCTGGCAGGATGAAGTGGCCCACACGGTTACAGAGAGCCGAGTGTTACAGAACACCAAACATCCTTTCCTCACG